AAAACGGGGAAAACGACCTCTATTTATAGAGAAAAAAGAGAGTTTGGACGATCATAAAATATCATAATTTAAAAATCGGAATAAAACAACTCGTATCACAGGGCGACAGGAGTATCGCAGCGCGATAGGACTAACGCAACGCGTTGGTCTTGTCATCCTGCGATGATTTTCTAAAGATAAACAATTGTACGGAGTTTGATTTCCAATAGAATTAGGTTAACGAAATACATCTGTACGTCTTTTAATTTGATCGGGATAAGGACCATTAAAAGAGAAGTTTTATTCGGCTTCGAACTCATTTGATCTTTATCTTTTCGAAAAGGATAAATTAGAACCTCCTAGAGGATTCTAGAAGCTCCTAAAGAATCCTAATTGGTTTAGGATTGGAAATAAGGTATTTAGACCCTCACATAATCATTGGGTCATAGGTAAAGTTGATCTGGGTTCGATTTGGGCTCGGTTTAGTATTTTAGCCATAACTTATTCGTTATAAGTCGGATTTGGGCTTATTATATATCGCTGGAAAGCTCTTTTCAAACCACATCCATCTAAACAATGATTGGACCAGGATTATGGACCAAAATAATCTAGTTTGGACGTTTTTTATAAATTGGGAACGAAATGAATGATTCTTAAGGACACGAAATGGATGATTTTGGGTTTAAAGGAACGAAATGAATGATTTTGGATTAAAAAATTTTAGGAAAGGCTAGAAATATAGTCAAGGCTTAAAGGAACTTCACGAGACTCTTCAACTCTTTACTGAACTCGTTAATCAAAGACGTGAAAGGTACTCATCACTAGGTTTGGTTTTTGGGGAGACACAATCAGGTGTCTACAATATGTATTTGGAATTTTGCCAAAATATTGTTACATAAGAAAGAGATTTATACATCATTACATTCTATGTGTATTATTCTCATAAGTCAGATGACAAGAAGATAATTTAACGATTTAAGTGAAAATTTGAAGACTCGAGTTAAATTTTGAAAAATCAATTATCGATGAAGATTTTGCTGCTACACAGGAGAAGTTGCGTGTGTCAGCATTGGACCCATTACATACGCGCTACGCTCTTTTTCCCTTAACCATAGTTTTATCCCACTGGGTTTTCCTGGTAAGGTTTTTAACTAGCTAGCATCCCAAGCGTATTATGAAGAATGATGTACTCTTTTTCCTTCACTAGGTTTTTATCCCATAGGGTTTTTCCTAGTAAGGTTTTGACGAGGCATAATCTTCAATAATGTACGTCCAAGGGGGAGTGTTATGAAATATAGTTATGAATGTCTATTATGCATAGCTTTGTAACCCCTTTAGCATTATTACTTTCCTTAGTAACCCCTTGTAACTCCCTTTGCCTTATTGTTCCCTTTGTACCTCTTGCATTATTGTGACTCTTCATTGCATTTGGAGAGTTACATATTCTCATGTATATATAATAGGCATTGCCTTTTAAGAGTGATAATGAAGAAAAACAACTAAGATTAACACCTACATTTTCCTCTTGTATTCTTTCTTTCTCTTTAAACTAAAAATAAACCTTTTAACTTATGTCATGTATTGTTGAAACTGGACAAACAAAATATAGTGGAAAGCTAAACGTCACCCTCGAATCTCTAACTAACGCCTGCAAAATAACCTAAAATGACGTACGTAGCCTTATTATAAAAATAATTATTTTTACCTAAACTTAACACTTTTACCCTACACAAAAAATTTTAACCATTCTCTCTAGTGTTCACCGGCCACCAACGATCACGTTTAATCACCAACCACCGTAATATTCAAAATCAAACAAATAATTTAAATTTTGCAAAACCTAATTCGTTGGATCTCATGGAAGACGACGAAAGACCGGAAACACCACCTACGTTGCTCGCCGGAGGCTCGTCGGACCGTACGGAATTGGTACGATTATTTAGTTGTTTGGTTTTCGAAACACCCAGAAAAACGCCCAGAAATTTCGAAAACCTCGGCAGAAATGCCTAGTCTTTTCGAACACCCTAGGTAGTTTCGAGAAAACTAAGCGTTTCTGCCTAGGTTTTTCAAAATTTCTCGGCGTTTGCCTGGGAATTTCGAATTATTATTTTCTTTTTGGTTTTGAATTTAACGTATTTGTTACTATTATTATTTTGATTATATTATTTTTGTTTGTTATTATAATTACTTGTGTTTGCTATTATAATTAGTTGTGTATTGTTAGAATTATTATTATTATCATTATTAGTTGTTATTATTATTAGTTGTGCGTTGTTAGAATTATTATTATTATTATTAGTTGTCTCCGGCGACCGCCTTCTCCTTGTCCTTCCTCGTCATTTCCGCGGCTAACTGCGTAGATGGAGAAACTTGAGGTAAAAGGAGGTGGTGGTGGGTGGTTAAAAGTAGGGGAGAGCATGGGACGGGTACCCGTTCCAATAGCGTTATTGGTTCGGGTACCCGATAACCGTTAAGGCTAAAACCGATTCCCGAAACCGTTCCGATAAGGTTCGGGTACCCGTAAATTCGGATACCCGAAAATACGGGTACCCGAACCAAATATCCGAACCGAACCAATAAGCTAAATTTTTTTTTTTGGGTCTTTTTATTTATTTAAAACCTGCTTTGCAATTCGTTTTTAGATGCTTTTTAGTTTTTACTAGTTTTTTTTTACTTCCTATTTTTTGAACTTAAATACAAAAATAACAAAAATAATTACAACTATCGCTGCCTTCTGCTTTGGCAGCCTACCAGTCCCTGTCCTTGAGGCTGCTGCCTCCTCACCTCTCCTACCTGGCTGCCTGAACTCCTCCTTGTACCCACCTGCTTAATAATATTTTTCTTCAAACTTCCACCTGTTTTTCTAGTATTAATTATTGTTATTAGTACTATGATTTTTTTTGTAACAAATAACAGCCTAATAGGCTGATATTTAAACTTGAATACACATATAACACAGCACTCAACCCGATTACAAATGAACAAATACTTGATACAAACATACTGTTTCTTTACAAAAAAAAAAAAGTCCATAGTTAACAATAATAAACCAATACATAACAAAAAAAAAAAAGTCCATAGTTTATAGTTTTAAAACAAAAACAGTCCATAGTAATCATAATTCATAAAATACTCCAAGCCTTCAATGACTTCCGGCCTTCAATACAATCACCACCAACCTTCATGATTATAATTTTCTGCCTCTAATCAATTAATCATCATCAACAAAGAGAGAGTGTTCCTCACCAAGAGGTAACATTTCTTCAAAAAAAAAAATTAAAAAAAAAGTAAATGAATAATTAACAAGATAATGAGATTAAAAAAAAGAGAAAATATTTAAATGTTACCTGATTCAATTTTTTCCATATCTTCAAGTCTCTCCTCAAGTATAAGAGGACCTTGAGATGTACGTAACCAATCTTGTGCACAAATCAAGACTTCAACCATCTTAGTTGAGAGTGAGCTGCGAAATGAATCAAGCACTCGACCACCGGTGCTAAAAGCTGATTCGGAAGCGACTGTTGATACGGGAATGGCAAGTACACCTCTAGCCATGAGATCTATTGTTGGATACCTTTCACCATATTTTTTCCACCACCCCAAACAATCAAAGTTTTTTCCGGCAGGATTAACTTCTCTATCATCTTCTAAATACTTGGCCAACTCATTTTTCCCTTGTACTCCAACACATGAACCCACCTGCCTTTCAAACTCTAATTCCGCAACATCTACATCAGAATCCATATCTTCTACTTCCTCCGAAAAATCAGAAGTTTTAGGGGGAATAGACTCATTTGGAGGGTTTTCAGAAATATAAAGTTCATACATGTCATTCAGAGTTTGCATCACTTTATCACACAAGTACTTAGCTTTTTCAGAATCATATTGTTGATTAATTTCCCATTTAGTATATCCCATTTTCCGCCTATGATCAAGAATGACAGCAATATACAACAAGAGATTCACATTATCAACATTTTCCCAATACTTGTCATGCTTTTTCTTCATTCCACTAGCCATTAAACTCACCCCCGCATCATTACTCAACATTTTTTTCTTGATTAACACACTAATCCCAACAAGTTCTTGTAAATACACATTAGAGGTAATATACAATGAGCCGGAAACTCATAGAGTAGCATCATAGAATATTTTAAGTAAAGGAAGAAAAGAGGCAACACGATCCCAATCACTAGGTTCAGGCACCCCGCCTGACTTAAGTAACTCATACCTAAATTTACCACCATCTGAACATTCAAGCAACTTAAAAGCCCTACGATATGCCAAAGCACCTTCCAGCATTAAAAAAGAGGAATTCCACATAGTATCCACATCTAAACAAAGAAAACATTTTGACTCCAACTTTTCTTGTTTACAACTCATGAACTTTTGCAATCTAGCACCCGATGATCTTACATACCTAACAGCACAACGAATTCTTTTTATTGACACATCACTTTCTTTCAATCCTTCTTTAACGGTTAAACTTAATATGTGAGCACAACATCTCATGTGTAAAAACCGACCACCCAAAACTAATGTCTTCCAACTTTCAAACCTTCTTTTCAAATATTGAATGCCAACATCATTTGAACTTGCATTATCTACAGTGACAGTCATTATTCTAGAAATACCCCATTCAAGTAGACACTTTTGGACAGATTTACCAATTGTTTCACCAGAATGACCAGCAATTATACAAAAGTTAATTATTTCCTTTTGCAATTTCCAATTTTGGTCAATAAAGTGAGCGGTTAAACACATGTAATTCATATTTTGGCAAGAAGTCCAAGTATCAGTGGTGAGACTTATACGTGAAGTGGACTTACTAAAAAAACTTTTCAAACTTTTTTTCTCATCCAAATAAATCCTAAAACAATCTCTAGTCAATGTCCATCGAGAAGGAATAATGAAAAAGGGTTGTGTTACCTTCATAAAGTTGCGAAAACCTTCATGCTCCACCATTCTAAAAGACATTTCATCCATGATCACCATCTTTGCCAGGGCTTTCCTACTATCTTCTTGATTGAATTTCCATAGCTCAAGTCTACCTTTTTTTTTATCCACGAGATTCCCATCAAGAGTTTGTTGACTAAGGGACAATAGTTGCTGATTTTGATCAATGTTTGGGGGGTATTCCTTACACCGCTTTATGTGGTTCTTCATGCCGAAGGTACCTTGAAGTGATGCACAACCAATGAATGTATGACAATAGATACATTCAGCCTTGTTTTCTCCATCCTTCTTTATAAAATGCTCCCAATGAGGAGAGCGCCTTTTTCTAGATATTTTTGAAGTTTCACTTAAGGGGGCAGCAACATCAGCAGGTTCAGAAGGTTGGTTTGATTGATTTTGCTGGTCAAAGGGGTCATTATTTTTCGTCATTGGACAAGGGTCATACTCCCAAGGCTCGGGAGGAGGACTTGGAATTGGAGGAGCTTGACTTGTAGCCGATGAGTCTTCCATATCCCCACTACTTCCAGATTCCATACACTCCTACAAATGAAAAAAAAAAAACAAATAAGTTCAATCATGTATACACAAATAACAAGAATGAGTCATAGCTAGGGGCGTACAAAAATTGGCCCGGACCTGAAACCGGACCTGAACCGACCTGAACCGGACCGGACCTGACCCGGACCTGTTGATTCAGGTCCGGTCCCGGTTCTTAAAAATCCAGGTTCCCGGTCCCGGTCCGGACCCGGTCCAAACCCGGGGTTTTCAGGTCCGGACCTGAAACCCGGGAAAATCGTAATTAAAAAAAAAAGAAGAAAACCAAACTCTGAAAAATTGAAACTGAGTTTTCGTGGACTTATTTGTATTTTCGGTGGACTCATTTGTATTTTTGGTGTTTGAGAATCGGGACTTTATAGACTTTATGTAGTTTTGTAATTGATAATTTTGGTTTGTATGTAATTATTAAATTATGCAACAGGTCTAAAAATCACAAAACAGGTCCATATGCAGGTCCATATGCAGGTCCAACAGGTTTTGTATTAAAAAAAAACGAAAAAGACACAAAACAGGTCCATTCAGGTCCAAACCCGGACCGGACCTGATTTTTCAGGTCTGGCCCGGAACCGGACCTGTTAATTCAGGTCCGGTCCCCGGTCCTCATAATTACCCAATTCAGGTCCCCGGTCCAAACAGGTCCGGTCCAGGTCCGGTCCGGTTTTGGACCGGTGTACACCCCTAGTCATAGCTATAAGAGGGTTGAAAGGGTGAACATCTAGGACATATGTCTATTAGAAACAAACAGGACAAAAACTTTTCCACGTCACACAAATACACAATCATAAAATCTCAGACAAGCAAGTGAAATAAAAAAAACTATTGGTACAACTACATCATATAATCACTCTGTGAGCCTTGCAGTACCTTAGGCAAGTATTACTGAAAATGAGTCCAAAAGATGATGTACACAGCCACACAAGTTACTGTTAAACCAAATTCCAGCTGACGAATATTACTCAATTCTGTTAAACCATACATTGATAGATTAACCTGAGTAGAAGCAACTAGATAAATCATATTGAACTACATGATTATCATATTGGACTACAATAAATCTTAAAACGTTTTCTTAAAATGCTTGTAATTAACTCATGTTACAATAAATCATATTGGACTACATGATTATCATGTACATTTATATAAAGAGCTCTTCCACTATGAAATTGTTGTGATATTATTTAACCACAGTAGTTGCTTTTTCCACTGTAGAAACTTAGCATAATAGAATAATAGATTGCCAACCAAGATGCAACTATAGTCTACTACTGATGCAACTATAGTCTACTACTGAAGTGCTGATGCAACTATGTAACTCAAGTCATACCTAGTTACCTACTATAATCTAGATGCTCAGCAACAACACACAGGAAGCCATCACACAACTCTATAGATGCTCAACACACAGGAAGCCATCACACAACACTATAAATGCTCAACAACATTAGTACACAGCAACTATAGATGCTTAGCAACATCACACAACAACATCACTCTGAATCCTTGTTTTTTCTCAACAACCTTATTTCCACATCAAAAACAGAAATCTCACCTTACTCACTCATCCAAATCTAACAAACACAACTTGACAAAAAATAATAAAAAAAAAACCTCAATTCTGAAAACCAAAATAAGTACCATTCCTCCAAAAAAAAACAAAAAAAAAATAATATTACCACAATAAAAAAATCAGGAAAAAAAAAACAATTACAAATCCGAAAAAACCACAGATAGTCAGATACCATAAAATGTAAATTACCTCAACAGTGAAAGCTCAAAAGCCGCTTCAATGGAGAGCCGAAGTACGCTTCAATGGAGGAGATGAAGGAGTGAAAGCTCAAAGTCGCTTCAATGGAGGAGATGAAGGAGTGAAAGCTCAGAGCCGCTTCAATGGAGAAGTCGAAGTACGCTTCAATGGAGGAGATGAAGGAGTATAGGCGTATAGCTCAGAAGCCGCTTCAATGGAGAAGTCGAAGTACGCAGAGCCCTAAATTGAATCTGCGATCTGTGAAATTAAAACAAGAGTTTAAGTTTAATTGAATTTAATCAATTCATTGCAAATAATTAGATCTGGCAAAGGGATAATTAGTTAATTACCTGAGGACATTAGGAGATAAAGGAGTGAAAGCTCAGAGCCGCTTCAATGAAGGAGATGAAGGAGTGGAGCTCAGAGCCGCTTCAATGGAGGAGATAAAGGAGTGAATGGAGAATGGAGAATGGAGATTAGAGAACCAGAGGCAGAGACATTAGAGAAGAGGAGGAGAGAGAGGGGGATGGAGGCTGAGTGAAGTGAATGACTGAGAAATGAGAAAAGAACGAAGTTTAGGGTTTTCACTTTTTTGTTCTTTATTTTCTGTTTCTTTTTTTTAAAAAAAAAACTGACATTTTTCATCTGAGATTTCGAAAAAAAAATATTTTCAGGACATTCGGGTACCCGAAACAGTGTTAACGGGTACCCGTTACCCGAACCGTTAAATTCTTATCGGTTCGGTTACCTGACCCGTTTTCTTTAAACGGTTCGGGTACCCAATTTTTCGGTTCGGTTACGGTTCGGTTTTTCGGATAGTTTTGCACAGCCCTAGTTAAAAGAGGAGGTGGTGGTGGTGGTTTAGAGAGAGAATTGTTTTTAAGAGAGAGAAGAGGGAGTGAGGGTTAGGGGGTGTAAATTATGTTTGAGGGGTAAAAAAAAAATTTTTAATATAAGAGTAAATTTGTAAAATATATTTTATTTTGCAGGCGTTAGTTGGATATTCGAGGGCGATATCTAACAACCCCCATAATATGAATTATAAGTTATAAGGATTTTTAATTACAGAGTATAATTTTGAAACGTAAATTTGGCAACCTTCTTGTAACTTGTATAAGTTGTCAATAGCTAAACCCATTTCTAAAATCCAACAATTAAACTAGTATAAAAAGTATTAATATAAAGGAAAAATTGATTCTAGTAATTCCACCTTTGGCCGGTTCGTCATTAATAATCTCACCTTTATAGGCGATTTTCTTCCATTGGTCCCTAACCGGTTATTAACCGGTTTAGCAAGTTAAAAGTGACATGTGTCACTATTTGATTGGTTTGTGATTTTTTAATTAATTTTCTAATAAAAAACAAACTAAACTCATCTCTTCCTCCCTCTTTACTGCCATTCTCTTTCTTCCCTTTCTCCAACGTGCCACCATGAAGCTACCCCCGTTGCCGCCGTGTAGCTACTACCATCAACCCTCGAACACCACCTTTTACCATTATTACTCGCACCTCCCTGTCCATCTCTGCCACCATGTGGCTACCTCCCACTTTCAAAAATCACCTCCAAATACCACCCCACTATCCACAGAAAATTAACCAACAATGACCACCCTTCTCTCTCCTCCATTTGAACCCACATCCCTATTGCAACTTAATTCCTAAAAATAATTGAGATTGAATCGAAATTGGGATTGCTCTATTGAATTGCTGCCATGGGTTCTTAAAATTGAGCCGAAATTGGGTTGCTTAGTGTTCGTTTGTGCGGCGGTTGAGGGCTGCTGCTAATTGTTATGGAGGTCCGGTGGTGGCTCAATTGCGGGTAGTGAGGTAGGGGTGCGAGAATTGGGTGCTGTTACTGCTATAGTTACAATTGAGGGGCAGAGGAGGTGGGCAGTCCGGGCTAGTCGTGGTTGTGAGGGAGTGTGCGAGATGGACCTTTCTTAGTATTTATGCTCTGATGGTCGGATGGGGTGGTTTTCGGGGCTGGGTTTAGGGTGTCGTGGTGGATTCCGGGGAGTGGGGTGTTGTCGTTGGGTGGGTCCAGTGGCGGACCCAGGATTTTCCGACTGGTGAGTCACAATCGATAATCAAATATGTAAAAAAAAAATTTTACCAAACAACCAAATAATAGTACTAAAAAATACATCCAAATATTCAAACAGTACAAAATACAACCACCCCACTTCTCCTCCATTGTACTCTACAGTAGAGCTACATGTAGTGAATCCATCCAACGCAACTGCAACACCCAATTCAGAAAAAATCACCTTTAGGGCAAAACATAAACACAAACACAAGTTATCCAACACTACAAAACACAAGAAACCCACCAAAATTCAGCCACCATTTTAACAAATTCAACAAACCCATCACTCAAAACACAGAATTTCAACAAACCCACAAAAATTCACCACTAAAAAAGCAAGAAATTGAAGAAAATTAGTGATTATACAAACAAACCTGGAGATGAATTCTGGGTATTTTGAAGATGAGGGTTATGATCTTGGGGTTGATACTCGTGAATTTTGAACTCGTTGAAAAGAACAGTAACAGTAATTAAAAGCATAAAGATAAGAGAAATAAGAGGTAAGTGAGACCTTCTCCTGCTCCATTTCCAGCCTTGCACCATAGCTGCTGAAATGTAAGGAGAGAGAAAGTGAGAGGGAAGAAGTAGTAGAGATTCGAATGTTGGATTATGCGACTATGCGAGAAGCCACGAAGAGGACGGAGTCCACGACCACCGACGTCCGACCACCAGGCGATTAGGCGAAGAGAACGGTAGCTGCCTGGCTGCCTGGCTGGGACGAAGCGAAGAGGCGAACTGAAGAATGGAGATGAGGCGAAGTCGCGAAAAGAAGAAGGCTAGGGCTTGAAGTCTTGAACTGAATTCGTGTTTGGTTTTTTGGGGAAAATTGATTTTAATTTTTTTTTTTTTAAATAACTTAAAAAAAAATTTTGGGCCTGGTGAGTCACTTGACCCACCAGGTCTAAGCCCAAGTCCGCCACTGGGTGGGTCGTGGAAAGGGGAAGATTTCGGTGGTGGTGGGGTGGGGAAGGTGCTGCCGAAGGATGGCGGTGGTGGGAAAGGACAGCTGCCGGAAGTTGGGATGGGGTGACGTGGGGTTGAGGTTGCTGTGTATTTTTTTTTTAACTTTTTTTAATTTTTTAAAATTTTTTGACCAATCATGTAATAACACGTGTCAATTAAATTAAAATTTTTAAAAAATTTACCTATTGTGCAGGTAATCAGTCACAAGGGACCATTAAAAGAAAATCTCATATAAAGGTGGGATTATTAGATAATAATCAAAATGTGGGATTATTAATGGCGAATCGGTCAAAGGTGGAATTATTAGAATTAATTTTTCCTAATATAAATAAATAAATAAATAACAATTTAACAAGTAATATAAACATACTACAAATATTTTTAATAGAGAGCAAGAATAGCAATTTAATATGCAAATCAAATTAACTTTGACATAAATTAATACTCTTAGACAAGTTACCAAGTTAGGCAACATCTATTAAATGTCAATTTTCAATGCATGTACCATTGGTATCAACATTCAACTATTGAAGTACTCCGTATCCCCAAAAAAAAAAAAAAAAAAAAAAAAAAAACCGAATAATAAAAATCGAAATTGGTAATTGAAAAAGGAAGAGAGAGAGTGAACGAGTATTGAACACGTGGCAAAATGACGATAGCAAGAGAATCATCTTGTACAAGTATACAATGTCAGCGACATATGTCCTACTCACTTGTGCATGACTCGTGGAACTGTGTGGCCCAACCGCTTAGCTTTCGTTGGGACCCACTGTCGATAGGGGCAATCTCGGAATATCGTTGTAAAAGATATTTTAATTTTTTTGGTAATCACTTTTTTTAGGATGGAGATTATTATTCAAATCACAAGTGGGGATTAAATAAATTAAATTAACTTTTATATTTATATTTATATTTATATTTATATTTATATTACTCCGTAATGTTTATATAATATCATTACCTCCTTTTTACTCGTAAGATAAAGTTTATGATAGTTCATGAAATCGACCTTTGACACGTGTTATTTAAGTTGGCTAAAGTGGGGTCAATTGATCCTTAATTCAGGATTACTACTATTAAAATATCTTATTTTATGGCTACTGTATTTGTCAACGACTACTCTGCCAATACACACACGGTTAAGCCAAGCTAAACAAATCACACTAAAAATATTAGAGTAATCCAACATCAACATCACCTCTTAATAAAAACAAAAGGGTAAAGTGGACCCCTCCATTATTAAATATATTAATTTAAAAATTGTAGGTAGAGAAAATAAAATAATAAAAAAAAAAGAAGGTAAGACCCCACCATAAATAAAGTCCAAGAAACCAAATTTGTTTGGCTAACATGTGCCGTTTGTGGTGCATTACCCACTACACTACATCACACTAGCAATTAAAAATATATAACAACATTATCATTTGTACATTTGGACCGCAAAATACCATGCATATCTTTCTTTTTCTTTTTTTTTTTAATTTTTTTTTTTGATGAGATTTACATTTATGAATTATGATGCTGAGCTAGATGATTGACTGACTATACATTATACACCTTTCCTACTTCATATAATAAAGTATTTTCCTAGCAAGTAGTAACAAATTCAAAAAATCAATATAAAAAACAAGAAAGAAAAAAGGGACCAAAATCTTTCTTTTTCTTAAGCAAGTGAAGTAAGGAAATTTTGTTCTTACATCAAACTATTGTAGCCCGTCAAAATAGGATTCACATGATGACAGGGAAATTATATGACATTTTTTTCCATTTCTTCCTAACTCCCTAACAAAGTACCTTACCACCTTCTCTTTCACTGTTTACAAAAATGGAGAGGGCCATGACATCCAATCTACAGCTCCCTCCATTTAACCAACCACCCACTGTCTATATCGACCGACATCACTATCGCATTGCCGCCAGAACACCATTGCAATTTGCAAGGATCACCTTTCAGCCACTTCTTTCCGAGTGCAAAATTTCAATTGTTGCAGGTTCCATTAAAGCAACATCGATATCATCATCATCTTCTTCTTCCTGTTATTTCTTCTTAGGCTGCCAGCATGCATTCAAATTGTCATTTCGCATGTGCTGGAGACTCCCACAAAATTCCTTTGTAAATTCACAGTTCCCCCCCTTGTTCAAAGCTTTATTCAAGACTCTTTGTTCGTTCTTACAAAAATAATTTGGTGACATGGCAAATTTAAGCACCAAAAGCGCATAAATTTTACTCACCAGCAGGCTGCTTCTGCTCAGATGGTTTCACCTGGACTGCTGTGGAAACAGCATGAACATACGGAAAGCCTGCAGGCATCAACTGATGGGCACCCCCAGCAGACTGAGCAGCAAACTGAGCAGCATGATACATCCCCTGTGATGGCAAACCACCCTTCATATTGTTAGCAAATGCAGCCGCTGCCACAGCTTTTGCTGGATCAGACGTGCTTGTATTAGCAAGAGAAGCTGGAGTACATAACGACAACATTCCACTCGATGAAGTAGGGGGTCCTGAACCTTGAGATTTTGATCCTTGTTGCTGGTGGTGGTGGTGGTGATGGTGATGTTGTTGCTGTTGCTGCTGATGCTGATGCTGCTGACTATCAGGCCTATGCCTTTGAATATAATACCCACTATTAGCCATAGCAGCAGAAGTATTAACAGAAGCCTGCATGTAAGCATTTGAAAAGAACAATTGAGCTTGCTGAATACTTTGCTTCGACAATTGAGGCTGCTGCTGAGACTGTTGCATCTGGGGCTTGTTGCTTGAGCTAGACATAATATGGGGACTGCCAAGGATGGATGGCTTTTGGCTGCTTAAAGATGGAGACTGTGAGTTCTTCCCCTGCTGCGATGAAAATGTTGCCCCTTGGGCCCCCGCTTTGTTCCCAGTGGAAGCACTAGCAGTTGTCCTTGGGCTCCCACTAGCACCCTTCGATACCGAGGAGTTTGAGGGGGACCCAACCATCATTGGCGAAGAAGGGCCTTGGTTATTATGCTGGTTTTGCTGCCCTTGTGATGTAGAGGATGTTTTAGAGTTACCAGCATTGGCTCCAAAAGAGATTTGTGTGTGGTTTTGTTGGGACCTTCCTTGCTGCTGCTGCTGCTGGGGAAGGTTCTTCATGTTAGAAGCAGTTGACGTAGCAACAGATGGTGAAGATACTTGGGGCGTGTTCGGCCTCACAGAGTTCTTCCACTGTTGAGACTGAACAGAGCCACCACTTGTCTGTACAAGAGGTGGAAAACCAGATAAAGAGTTGGGAAACTTGGCAGCCATGATAGATGATGAATTGAGATGATCAGGATAGACATTTCCATTACTAGTGGGAGTCTTGCTACGGCCACTGCCAGCACTAGGAGCTACATATTGCTGCTGTTTAGGAAAGAGCATTTGTTGTTGTTGTTGTTGGTGTTGTTGTTGCTGCTGCTGCTGTTGCTGAGGATTTGAAACACTAGAATTGCTCACAGAATTAGGTCCAGGAGAACGAGTTGGGCGACCGGATGACCCATGCATCATATTTAGGCTTCGAGCTGAGGTATCAACAACATTGTTCCCGGGCATTGTTGCCATAGAATTCTCGGCAAACTCCCTCGAAAAAGCAATGGACTGGCCAGCTGACGCTGCAGAAGCTCTTGCAGCCACGGCCTTCCTTTCTTCATCGGCATTAGAAGGATCAGTGGCAGCATTTGCTCCAGTTTTTCCATCCTCAGGACCACGATAATTATTCTTCTTCTGCTGTGCTGCTTGGGCTGCAGCTGCAGCAGCCATAATTTGATAGTTCTGTCTGGCAGCTTCTGGAAGACTCTGCATAAGAGCATGATTGTGCGCTATTGATGACATATCAAGGCCAGGAGTTGCAGCACCATTCATAGTAGCAAAAGACATGGGAAAAGCAGGAGGCTGCTGGGGTGGTTGCTGCTTTTTATCACCAAGATTACCATTGGGAACACCGGCAGCATTGCTTCCCATTGAAGAAGGTGGGGTCATCATTGCAAAGTTGGGCGAATGGAAGGGCATTGCAAAGTTCTGGCCATAAACATTCATGTTTGGCCTGTTACGACTATCAGCAGTTGATGGGCTATCCTCACCACCCATATCAGGATGAGTTTGCGACATCCGACCTTTGGCTGCTTGAATCTGCAAGCCTTGATTCGGGTTCCCAGCACCAGGCGCACTGCTTCCCTGGGGCCGCTGCTGTTGATTTTGCAAATGCTTCTGGGAGGATGAGGAAGCGGTGGAGAGACTAGCATTTTGCTGATTTTGCTGTTGGATTTGCATGGACTGAGATGGCTGTACAGCTTGCTGTTGTTGCATTTGTGAAGGATGAAGCATTTGTGAAGAGTAGAAAGAGCCGTTGTAGAACGACATTGGTTGTGGATGAGATCCCCTATAAGGAGGCGCTGCTCCAACATGTGCAGGAATTGGGAAAGGATACGGCCTATTCCCTAGAATTGCCATAAACTGAGCCTCATTCCCACCCATGTTTGGGTAACTAAAGCTCATTGCAGGCCCAGCATTTGAATTAGTTGGAGGAGCAGCACCCATAGGAGATGAAGTAGCTGCGCTAGCAGAAGCTGCATTCACGCCTGTTGATGGCGATTTTGTGGAGTTTGGACGTGCATTTGCCACTGCCGCCTGTTGTTGGCCCATTGGAAAGAACAATGCAGGGCCATGCTGATATTCCAACAGACAAAAAAAGTTTCAAAGTCCACTCATGCCAGAAAAAGAAAAGAAATTAGAAAAGAATTGATTAACAGACGGAAAACTTACCATCATATTACTGGGAGCACCAGGGGGCAATGCAGGCTGAAGCATATACTGCTTTTTCTGAGCAGAATCAGGGGCATTGGGGGGCTGAGGAGACTTATCCTTTGTCGAAGAAGCAGACTGACCAGGGAAGAAAGTAAAAGGCTGGCCTTTATTGTCCTGTGAAGAACTGACCACCATACCTCTCCCAGCAGCAGCAGCCAAATCAGCTGGGGGCACCATATTCAAGTTGTAAGGCTTGGCACCAAAGAGAGGAGAAGTCCCAGCAACCGCAGTCGCTGCTGCGGCCGGCCAGAACGGGTTCATCTTCATCATCTGCTGATGAACTGATATACTCCTTGCAATGTAGCAATGTGTGGCACATCTCTTTGGCCTTGGTTGTGAGAACAGAAAATGAGGGGACTACACAATTATATAAAATAATTGAAGTTATAGTCACCATCACCACACCATATCTAATAATTATATTAGCAATTAAAGTAGACCAACCATTTGTATTTTGCAATTGGATTAAATATAAAATAATAAAAAAGGCATTAAATTAAAAGCATTACCTGAATTGGTGGAGAAGCCATTGGGGTCCCATCCATTGAAACAACTCCTTGCAATGGTCCCACATATCTGCTCATCAATAATTGTGTTACTTTAATTTTTATATATTTTTTTCCTTTTTTTGGGGATAAAATTAAATTGTTACAGTAAAAATAAAATCAAGAGATTTCATGAAAATATAAAAACGACCGTACCCCATGGGTGGAAGCCCTCCATGCCATCCTCCAGGTACTGACATTGGCAGCGGCGCTGAACCCAATTGCCCTCCTGCATTTTTTCAATATTTTATTTAAATAATTATACTATTAAAAATATAAAATAATTAAAAAAAATAAAAACAACCCAGAATCCCAGATTAATTACGAGTTTTGAAAAACCTCGAATTTATCAAAAATTAATTCCCAAGTTAATTAAATTAAGGAATAAAAACACTCACCAGGTTTGTCTGTATTAGCATCATCCCTGGTGGTTTTGGGCGGTGTAGGCTGCTGCTTTTGAAAATTCAACTTGTCCTCGTTCACACTACTACCACACTTCTCCAAATCAAACTGAATATCCTTGCTATTCAGATTCAGCTGCTGCGGCACTGGTTGCGACGACGCCAACCTCGGCTTTCGGCCCATGGACAACCCGTCCGACCCTGCTGCCACGGCATCATTCTTATTCAATTCCGCCCCACCACCACCAAAACCACTACCACTAGCAGCATCTCTACTTTTAACAACCTTTTCATCATCCTCCTCTTTCGGCTTTGTACACGGCTTTGCTTCCTGTAAAGATTAAATACAAACCCACCCACCGAATAAATTGACCAAGTCAAAAAAACTATAAAATTAATTTAATAAAAAAAAATGAAAGAAAGAAAAATAAAATTAAAGGTAGTTCTAGTAATACTCCCACAACCACATCACAGTTTTCCATATAATAATTAAAATCGTACAAACTACCAAAAAACAAAAATTTAGATCGACAAAAACAGAAGTGGGTCCCATTTTTTTCCCTACTCACCGCCTCCCTTTCCGTGACCATCAACTTTTCATCTCCTCCTCCGTACTCCGCCATCTCCTCCTCCCTTTCCGGTGATGTTCTTGATTGCGGTGGTGGCGCCTGCATTTTTATTTTCCCATTAATTAAATGTATTCATAAATTAAACAAAAAAATTAAAAAATTAAAAATTAAAAAATACCTACCATGAGATCTATCTCATATTTATCTTCTCTGTGATTATCTTGTTCAACGAAGGATGAATTTCTGCATGAATTTTAAAAAGAAGGGGTAATAAAATAAATTAAATTAAATTATCAATGAGAAAAGTGGGAAATGAATGTGAAAAAACGAGAGGAATAATTTGATTGACACTGACGGTTTAGTGGAATTAGTGGTGGAGGATTCAACACGATCATGATTTTGAGTATGAGGAGATTCCAACTTTGGTGAAGATGACGAAGCTTCCTCTACTTTAGCTGCTCTCACCATCATCCCATTTCTTATCCCAGTTGATGATTCTTCCACCATACCTTGCTTTGCATCTGATAGGATACCATTGTTAACGGCTTCCGCCGACGACGATAGCGGCGTCTCGGCTGTGAGATCTTGTAAATTCGTCGAATCGCCCCCATTTTCGATGGCGGATCCTATGTTGTTCTTGTCCATGCTTGATGACGCCGCTTCTAGCTTTGGTGCTTGATCTGATTCTGGTTTTGGGGTCGATGAAATGGGGCTGCTGCGAGGGCCGAAACCGGTGGGGATATCTTCCGGGTATGGCCTCGGCCGCTTTCGCTTTGGAGCTGTATATTTCAATCATCAATTTATCAATAACTACATCACCAATTAACAACAAAGAAATCAATTTGGGTGAGAAACGATTGAACTTACCAACGGTGGTTAAAGGAGGGGCAGTTGAAGATGAAGTAGAAGGATTGGAACAATTAGTAAGATGATGAATTGAAGGGGAATTTGTAACAGGAGATGAAACTCTGGATTTAGAATCAGTAATAGATCTAGAATCCATTTTAGCTGAATCAATTATCATCCCACCGTCTTGCTTTGATGGGGCTTGAGATTGCTTCATCAGCCCATATAGAACTTCAGCGACCTCAATTTCAATGGCGTCTTGTGTTGACGGCGACGATTTCGAAGACGATTTTGGTGGCCGTTGTTGTTTCGGTCCATTAGCCGCCTTCTACACCGGAATAGAACAGAGTCAAATCCACAGAAACACATACAAACATCACTGGAGAAGAAGGGGATGAATATGGGGATGAATAGAACACTGACAATTTTCTTCTTTATTGAAATATTCGATGACGACGGTGACATTGGTTGTTGTGCTTGTAACGGAGTTGGTAGTGCCGCCACCGCGGGCGACGGTGTTGCTGTCATAGTTGACCTTACCGGTGACGATGACGGCTGTCGGCTTATTTGCTCTCCGCTTCCTCCTACACCACCAGCTGAACTCCAACAATCATGACCTCTCTTCGTTGAAGCTGCAATTACATCAAAATCAATCAAAAATCAAACACAAATCCAAATTAAATTAATTCAACAATTAAAAAATAAAAAATCCAAATCTCAGTGAGTCTAACCAGAGCGAGCTTTCCGGGGGATAGAAACTCCGATCATTTCATCCGGAGCCTTCCACGTAGGAAGAACCCTGGATGGCGGCGGAAAACTTTTCCGGTGACTGGTAAGAGTAGATGCCCCCGATGTCGATGAAATAGGAACCGGATTCGATGGCGGAACGTATCGAACTGGACCATCATCATCATCCTCATCATTTACGCTTTCTTCTGAGCTATCATCTACTCCACCAGCACCACCACCACCAACTCCGCCGCCGTCTTCTCTATTACTCCCGTGCATATACTTATCCCCTCGCCGTCGTTTACTCCTCAATCTATCTCGCTCCCTCTCCCTATCTCTGTCACGGTCTCTGTCCCGGTCTCGGTCTCTAATCTCCCGATCTCTATCCTTCTTAACCGTTCGATCTCTTAATCTCGCCGCCGTCTCCTGCAATTCCAGCGGACCATCGTCCTCTACAACAACCACAACAACAAAAACAAAGTCAAAATCAAAATCAAAATCAAAACCACCAAATAATACAAAAAACAATAGTTAACAGATCTAAACCTGGAGACTCCCTTAAACTACCGCCGCCAGTAGTGGTTCTATGCCTTCTTCTAGGCAAGCCATTAGTCATCGCCGCCGCTCTTCTTGCTTCTCTATTCCTATCCATCATCTTCCTTACTCAGAGAGATAACAAGTGACCAATCTCATATCTCTTAGCTTTTCACTTTTTCCTCAACCAAATTTCGCCGGAAAAAATGGCGGAAATTCCTCCGATGAAATCAACAACTCCGGCGAAATCGATGACTTCTTCTCTTCAGATCTTCCAAAAATCAAAAAAATCGAAAGATCTTTGCTTTCCTTTACCCTTCGTTTCTTCTTCTTCTTCCTCTTCTCTCTCTAAGTCTTCACTTTCTCTCTCTTGGTTTTTCTGTGTGTGTTGTCCTCTTTTCCTACTCTCTATTTCTTTCTTTCTTTCTCTCTCTCCTATCTCATCTTCTTTTTGGGGTATTTCATTTCAATTCATCTGCCTAACCCACCCCTATAGCCTCGTGGAGGGCTGGATCTATCCCAATCTAGTACAATCCTTCAATCTTGACCCTTCATTTTATCAACCATCTAAGGGCTATCCTTACTCTTTACTGACATGGCAACATCCTATCCGTTTGATCTACTATGTCAGTAGCTGCTATCCTTTTTAAACCTACCTCCACGTGGCACCAATATCTTTCTTCCCTCATAAGCTTCCAAGTTTTTAAAACTTAATTATTACTATATTAATTAATTTTAAATTATATTATTGATACTATTATTGTATTGAATTGATTATGTTAATTTATTAACAACCGATCTCCTTCTTAATCAATCAAAATCTTTAATTATATTTCCCACCATCTATTATATTGTAAAGTTACATTCCACATTATTTAATTGGATTAAATGGGAGTCTATAATATAATAAACCGATAAAAGCTAGTGTTATGTTAGACAGTCGATCATACATTGTTGATCAAACTATTCTTTTGAACATGTTTTTTTACTCTTTTCGGAACTAAACCCTAAATTCTTCCGTTTACTTTCTACAATTTTCAATTCAAATTTTAAACGTAAGTATATCTACTTATATGTACTTCGTATTTGCAAATTTATTGAAAGTTTAATTTTTAAAATCAAAATAAATATTCATGAATTTCACATGAACGTGTTTTTTTTACTAATAATTGTAAGACCGTGAGATTTAAATCAATAAAACATAAGGATTTCATTGGTAGAGAACTAAACTATTCAATTACTACGAAATAATAATGTCATAACATAAATTGTATGAGACCGTCTTTTACAAGAAATTAACACGAATAGATGAATATTGTGGTAAAAAAAAAATAATAATAATAATAAATCGTGTAAGATTTACGAATATAAAAAGAGAATCTAAATAAGGGCAGTAAATATCGGTAATAATTAGTAATTACCATCAAGTCAAAATTTCTCAATCTTGTAAATTTAATTTAGTTAAAAAAAAGTAATAAAAATCCACGTTTTAAATAAAATTTACCATATATAACTAAGGTGTGAGCACCCAGTTAGAATGAACCCCACCTGTAGCTGTAGTCAGTAACAGGTACTACTAAAATATTTCCTTAATTAACGCGCATGGTCCCACAAAATTCGGACGGAGTAGATCTTCTGAAGTGGAGTAATAGGGAAGCTGTGTACCGTCGGATGGTACGATGACGTGGCAAGGTATCCTAGTTGGCAGATTTAAAAGTAAATCTAAACCGTTGATGAGAGTGAGTAAATGAACGGTGGAGATGGAAGAGAGAGAGCGGCGGGAAAAACTGGGAGGGTCATGGTCACGGAAGTTCCGAGAAGAGTGGGACCCGCATAGAAACGGTGTTTGAGCACTTTGGCGATCTGAAGAATAATTTTACTTGTGTTGGCCTATTGTCACGTTCGTGGGATGTGGCAGCCTTCAAATGACGTGTTTACAGGGGCCCACTTTTTTCTTTTCTTAATTAATTTTTTTTTTTCAACTACAAAAGTAAGAAAAGGTGGAAAGAAAGTGTAACCAAAATCATCTTTTTCTTTCTTTTTTGTTTTCTATTTTTCATGGTAAGTGTATAATTATGAATTTTATTAATTAGATGTGCTTTTTTTTTAGTGTTAATCAAAACTTTAGAAGTCAAAATGTTACAGCATGGGTTAAAAGAATTTTCTCTTTTTCCTTCTTTTCGTAATTCCTCTGTTAACTGAATTTTGAAAGTGGTTTTAGAATGAATAGTTATGAAAATTAGTCAGAATTCAATCAAATTAATCAAACGATTGCTCTATAATTTTTCTTTTTCTCTATTTCTCAAAACTCATTTTTTTTCCTCCGCCGATAACAGTGGTTGGGAATGATTTGTTCGGTGTAATCGAACGACGATGATTAACATAAAGTATATTAGAGGGATTTGATTCAGATTTTTCTTCTGTCAAGTGTTTTATTACTCGCATAGTTCTTTTCTGTTTTTTTTTTCCCTCTCAAAACCCATTTCTTCCACCATTCAGGGCGTTGAGACTTGAGAGATTGAACAGAACTATGCCGAAAACATGTTCACAGATTTGGGTTATTTTGATTAATGCAGACAAAGTGTATGATTAAATGCCTGTAAAGAAATTTGGTGACTTGGAATGTGTTGATGACTGGGTTAATTAGATGGAATCACTTGAGAGTTGAGACTGCTCTTGCTCTAAAGATGGGATGGGCGGTGGCGAGGGTTTTGGTGGTTTTGGTGTTGGGATAGGTGGCCAGGGCGGTGAGAGTGGTGATTTTGGTGATAAAGTTGGAAGGGTTATTTATTTATTTATTTAAATTAAATTTTATAAGGAAAGAAAATAAAATGAGGTGATGTGGAATAATCAGTTAATCTTGAAAATTGATCCCAAATAGGATCATTAGAAGATAATGGCGGTATAAGGTTGGATTGTTGATTTCTTTTTTTTTTTCTTTCCTTAAAATGTTGTTTTACCAACTTTCAACAACATATTTGGGCAACTTGAACCTTGAAACTTAGATATTTAATATACTTGTTTGAAGTTATTGAAGTGTTAATGGATTGATTTGCTTGAAAATATGCTAAATAGAAGGGAAAATAGCTAAATAGAGTTATTTCAGCTCATTTTGGGCAACTTGAACCTCAAAACAATAAAAGTTATATAACTTGTTTAAAATAATCCATCATGTGAGAAGCATTCTTAAGATGAGAAGGGTGAGAAGCAATTATGACCATTAGATCATGAAATGAACAACCACGATTACATAGCTAAGATAATTTTTTCAGTTCCTTCTTCCCTTTCCCGATAGAATACTTTCCCTCTATCTTCCTTTCTCTCTCTTCGATTCCCTATCAACTTCAAGCGCGGCTATGGGGCTCGAAATGGCACCCAACACCCTTCCCTTTCTCTCTCAACTCACAATCTCACATATAGGTCCATGTTGTATTCAGTCAGCTTCGTCGTACCATGTATGCAATTCCTCGTCCATTGTTGTCAATTCTTATCTCGTGTTGACTTTGTGCCTTCGTCGCAAATTTCCAGAAATTGAGGCTTAATTATCGGACGTTATAGTAGATTTGGAGCTTTAATTCTATTCTTTGGCCAATTGAAATATGTTCCTCAAGGTGTTTGAATAAAGAAGATGACCAACAGTTAATTGAATTTATTTGATTTGAAAATGTCCATTATTTTTTAATAAATTTAAATAGGCTAGCTAATCTCTAATCTATAATCTATAATATTATTTAAAACTCATAGGGACAACATGCTAACGACATGTGTCACCCTTCCTTCAATATGATTTGATGCCACATGTGTGCTAAGTGTCATCCTGTGTGTCATCACCCTTCTTTCACTGCATTGAATTGTACTAATGTTTAGTTTCTTTAAAAAAACTCTTCATTGGCATAGCTCTTTTTTTTTTTTTTTTTTTTTGAATAATCCATTGGCATAACTTTAATTCTCTATAATATTTGAAATAATGTATTTATTTGCAAAACTCGTTGTATGATAACCTCTTACTATATTCATTTACTTATTAATAATGTTCAACATTAACTCTTCTAAATTAATTTTGATTAAACTTACAAATTTATGATGATTCGGGGCATCGTTCGAGCCAATAACTAGTTAAGACATAATTCCCAAATTGATTTATGGAATAGGTTTACCTACATTAAATGTGTTTTTATTCAAGCATGTTTTCATAGTGCAAATGATATTCGCAATGACCTTTGTTGAGGTAAATATTGCTCTTTACCAAAAAGTTAAATACTCTATTTTGTTCTAGAGTATTAGGGGGCTGCCCCTTGAGTTACCGGTTTCAAAGATTGATAACCTTGCTAACGTAAAACAAAACAATAAGGAAGCTTTTCTAAAGGAAGTAAAACAAGTTAGATTGCTCAAAGAAACGAGTAGATAAACATATGACAAAAGAAACAAATGCATTCCATTAATTAAAAGATAGAGTCAGGTCTACAATTGTACAAGTTGAAGGAGATGTTACTTCCATGGTCATACAGTTAGAATAGACAAACAATCTTTAATACATGCTACGTGCTAAACTATACTATCGCTTGGCTACTAAGCCAAGGGAAACTACGAAAGCTAAGAAGAAAGCTTAAAAGAAACGAAATGCTTGTTGTTGATTGATTTGTTGATGCCTTTCTTTCTATCCTTGCACTTCTATTCATAGGCAAAATGGAGCGGTTATGGCTGACTCCCATAACTGTTGTACGGTTATGCTTCTTGGCGCCAACACTATTTCGAAAATTAAAATTACTCATTAGCCTCCTAATCCAGTCCACCTGTTATTGGGCCTCTATGTGATATCAGCCCAACGACTGTTATGTTTTATCAAACTAGCCGAAAGACCTTTCACTAACTCTAGAAACTTCTCAACTCGGTCAAAGTCAAGAAAGTCAAACAAAAAGTCAAAAATCTGATTTTTAGGTGTAAGAAATGCCCCCCCTAATTTGGATGGTTGATGGCGTTTGAGAAAAACCAAATTATGACTTTTCGAACATATATATAAAGCATTGTGTATGTCTAACTTTGCAAATATCAAGCACAAAATATAAACATTACTTAATATTTATAGAAATAAAATAATTACAAAATAAGAGCATTTCAAAACTTATAAGTTTTGAATTGTGTATGCTCTTTTAACAGGACTTAAGGCTAAATATATACAGTGATATATTTATTGAGATGCCTCCTAATATCCTAGATCATCTTGGAGTGTCGCTAGTGCCCTCTTCATAATAGGGTCTGTTAGATAATCTTCGAAATTCCCATCCTTAGCAGGACTCATTAGGCTTCAGTCTACAACATTGCGATAGGCGATTGAATTATCCCATCGCTTACAGGCGCACAATATTTGAGGACATGGGCTTCTCCTTTTGGCCCTCTAGTCACCTTAACGTGGTAATGGGTACCACAACGGAC